GAATATAGTTTTATAATTTAACTTCGGTTCTGGATAAACACAAGCGAGCGCCGGTGAGATGAATGCAACTCGAGCTACAACTATGAGTAAATGGTTAAATGGTGCCACGACCAGAAGCGCTACATCTGGATTCGAATAACAAATAAAATCACCGCAAGTGTCAAAAAACAATAACAACTAAATCCCTAAGAAAACTTGGAGTTCAATTATTAAGCAAACAATATAAATTTCAATGTTGATGGGCGAAAAAAATTGAGTTTGAATAATAAAAATTATTTGCAAGGAAAACCAGAATACCACAGGTAACCCAGCCTCAATAACTTCGTATAAAATATGTCGTTCGCACATTTTTTTTATTTTTATTTTTGCCTAAATAATATTATTCTAACATAAATAAAACGTTGGTTGAAGATCTTTTCGTTTTTAAGAGGTTTTACGCCATTTTTGATATGCCATTGTTTAACCTACTTATATTAATACAAGGTCGGAAACTGCACGCAAAGATTTCCAACAGTAACTCTACTTGCACTCGATTTTTTTGTCAAAATCCATACTTTTGTCCACATTTAACTGCTCCACAATAAACATGAATGTCCAAGGATTCTTTTGAAGCTCTTCGTCAATGAATTGCTTTTCGGGAAGTTATTTTTATCGGCCGTTGAATTCTAATATTCGGGCTAAAGTATTGCTGACTATAACTAATTTGGTCCGGAGGCACAGGGGTCCCAAAAGAAGAGAGTATTCTCAAATTGGATTGGCTGATTCTAACAAAAGGCAATAAACACTTTAAATCTACGGGGGACATTGCTCAACAATTGCGAGACGAGGCGGGGGGGAGGGTATAATCGAAAGCAACCAATAGGACGTCAGCCGCTCTCGCAGGGAAAACTTGCTCTACTTAATTTAAAGCCTTAATAAAACACTACATACGTAAAAAGGTCGTTATACTATTTTTGAGCAGTCTTATGCTAATTCTTTTGTTTTCTCTTGCTCAACTAGAGCTTCATTCAATTTTATATAATTCAACAATCAGTGCTTCACTGTGTTATTGTTGAAAATACCAAGTAAAATACCAGATTACAACTGTACTAGAATTTCTAAACTAGAATGATGTCCTATTAGTAATGCTTACTACATACGTAAAAAGGTCGTTATACTATTTTTAAGCAGTTTTATGCTAATCCTTTTGTTCTTGTGTTTTATTAAGGCTTTAAATTAAGTACTTTGATTGGTAATTAGTTCGTGTTTTTATACGATAATTTGAGCTCTAAAGACAACCGAGTGCCTCGACAAGTCTACATCTCGTACGCTGTTACCTCGGCTCGGTGTTTTCCAATTTCTTCTTCAAGAGCTGATTTACAAGAAAGGTTAGCTTGATTTTCAATGGCCTCTCCTACTTTTTTCTCCTGCTTTTTGACTGAAAACGACCACACTTTGACCGAAAAGGTGCCATTCAACGAAACATTTGATAAACATTAGCCGGGAACATTAGTTACCAGAACAAGTGACATGCGCGCGTGCGATGCGCAGTGGCAAAGGTCCGGTACTACCTTAA